CAAGGTATCCCTCACATCTCGAGCTTCTCAGAAGAGCAGCTCTGCCCTGAAAGTGTCCTGGACACCTGGAGCTGTTTAGCACAGCTCTGATGGCTGGACTTGCAAGGGGACAGTTCAGCCCTGGAGGGTGAGGTATCCTGGACTCCTCAAGCTGCTCACAACAGCTCTGCCCTGATGATGTAAGATAAACAATTGATTTCTGATTATTCTACTTTATTACATTTCTACCAGATACATGAAAATATGGCTTTGAATACACACATAAAGTGTTTAATGTTTCTTATACTCTTATGTATTAAGTATTTTAAAATTAACATTGTTGTCTTACAAAACAGCACACATTGGGAGTAAATTATCTACTCTTGGACTACTCTGGAGGTATAAACATGAGGACCATGAGTTCAAATGTATTCTTGAATCATTACTGAAATCAATGCCAGGCTTAATATCAACAACAAAATCTCAAGGAAATTTGTGAAAACATGAAATCAAAACCAAACACCACAACCCACCACCCTTTTCACAGACACTCTTACTCAGAAAGTATGATCATACACTGCCTGGTATTTAAATAAACAATAGACTGGTAAGATGATAGATTTCCCATTCTATGTATTAGAGCAGAAAAAATCCATATCACTAAGTTAAAACTCAATGGAAGATGAACAAAAGCCACAAAAGAAATATAAAGATTACAAAAATAAATTTAGCTAAATGAATATGCCATACATATAGCACACTTTGGTATCCACCTCAAATGTTTCAAAATAGAAATAAAAATGCACTGATCTCCCCCATCAGTCTTGACTAAACATAATAACTAATTTACTTCCTTCAAGCCTATGATGAAAAGAAAATAAATAAGATATTTTTCTTTAAGCTGAAGACAACTGTGATATCTAAAATCAGTACCAAGTTGTTTACGTGAATAAATTTTTTCTCTTGTTTGAGTTTGTCCCTATTTCCTGACTTTAACATGATATAAATAGGATTTAAAATATTTTCACATCTAGAGACATGGTTGGACAGTTAAGAAAAGTTCACCCCCAGGAATAAGACCTGATTTTGACAACTTCTTTTAGTTCTTCCTACAAGAAGATCCGAGAGCCTAGTATTTTCAGAAACTAGCATGCAAATTCAAATAACTCCAAAAAACCTGTACTGACTTTGCATAATTAAAATTAAAACAACTCTAAAAAAACAATTTTTCATTGATGAAACTTTTTCATTTGTATGCATGCATTGCTGTAACACAGGTATTGAGACATTTAAAAGTTTACAGAGATTTTTTTTTCATTGTGAATTTGTTCATATAACAGAAAGCAAGCATGTGAACTTGAAGTCGAAAAAATCGTTTTCAGTTGGTGGTATCATTTGTGAAGGTTTAGGAAATGCTGTTCTGCTGATGAAATATGTCACTGGGGGTAGGATTTGATAATTTACATCCACCCATCATTTTCAGTTCTCACTCTCTACTTCATGATGAAAGTTAAGCATATGAGCTTTCAATTTAGCTGCCATGTCTGACACTTGATGCCATGCCACTTACATGTTGATACTGGGGCCAAATCAAACTCATTATAACTTA